AAAAAAAAACACCCGCACACAAAAAAAAAAAAAAAAAAAAATAAAAAAAAAAAAAAAAAAAAAAAAAGAAAGAATAGATAGTTTGTTATAGCAAAAAATTTTAAGAAAACAGGATGGATGCAACAAACGCAAACATTACATCATCATCATGAAGGATTTTCAGACTCAAATTATAAACACAAACTAATCAAATTATTAACCCCAAAGAAAATTGTTTTATGTAAAACTCGCCGCAATTGCCAATGAATAAGTATAACATCAAACTGCAAGTTGATCAATGCATTCTAGCAATTTGTTGGACCAAAAACAAGAAAAATAAGTTTCGAGTTTCCATTCAAAATCTTAATCACATGAGTTTTACACCACAGAAGTTCTTCTATATGCTAAGAAAATCACATTCACAAGGCGTCAAGAAATATACCTTAGCCAATAACGCAGAGGGCTCTCTCAGAACTTGACTTGTAAATATATGAGGGGATTTTATAGCGTTGAGCCTCCGTAGTCAGAGATTTAAAACCGAAAACAGACTACTTTGAGAAACAGAAAACTACTCTTTTCCTTAAAAAAAAAAAATACTTCTTTGTTTTAATTTCAAAAAGAAAAAGGGAAACATTTCTGGCCTTGCCTTTACTTAGCACTAGTTTCCTTCCATGTTTTCCCTTCCAATTACTCGTTCAGAAATGGTCAACTTTTTCTTCATACACTAATTCGTGCCAATTTAATCTTTTTCTGGTTGCTTGTCTTTCATTGTGGTTTTGAATGCTATCGTCGTTTGCCATTTTTATGTGATTTCCCAGTTTTCCTTGTCGTTGATTAGCTTTCCTATCGTTATTGTCTTTCATCCTTCACAAGTCGTTTTACTTTTCATACTAGATGGTAGCTGCCGTATTTTAGCATTTTGCGTAAGAAATCTAACCAGTCCACACATGAGATCCAAGTTACCAGCAAGACTCGAACTCCGTTGGTAAAAGAAAAAAAATTCCGATATGGCGCCAAGAATTATAATAGGAAATAACTTAAACGAAATTGTTTAATCACTACACCGTTTGATTAAAAAACAATGCAACCCAGAAATGTCTCAATTTGAATTATTGTAATGACAAACCAATGACAGAAGCGAAACAAAGAAAATAACATTTTAATTCCTATAACCAAAGCAGCACATTACCACAATCCCACTGATGGAAACAAAATAAGATAGCGAATGATAAAACATAGGGAAATTTCTACAATTTCATTTCCATGAAGTACCAGAGATCAAATTAGAGGAACATCAGATATATCAATTTATAGTCTTTCAATTTGTATCATTAGAACATAAGGATCGAGCATACAAAGTAAAATACAAAAACCCTAAAAAAATATCCAAAAGACATTAAAGACAAAAGGCCAGCATGTACGGATAGAAACCTAACCCTAACCCTAAAGATCACAATCCAGAGCCAGATTTTCTGTTCAAGAACTCGTGAACTTAGTCACGGCCTTGGTCCCCTCAGACACAGCGTGCTTGGCGAGCTCACCGGGAAGCACAAGCCTCACCGCGGTCTGGATCTCCCGAGAGGTGATCGTCGGCTTCTTGTTGTACCTGGCGAGCCTTGAGGCCTCCTGGGCCAGCTTTTCGAAGATGTCATTGATGAAACTGTTCATGATCCCCATGGCCTTGCTGGAGATCCCGATGTCTGGGTGAACCTGCTTGAGAACCTTGAAGATGTAGATCTTGTAGGTCTCGATGCCCTTCTTTACTCTCTTCTTCTTCTTGTCTCCGGCGGCGGCTCCGCCCTCCTTCGGGAGCTTCTTGCCGGCCTTCGGCTTCTTCTCGGCGGGAGCCTTCTCAGCGACGGCGGACTTCTTCTCCTCCGCTGGCTTCTTCTCGGCGGGCTTCTTCTCGGCCTTTGGCGCCATTGATTCTGAGGATTTCTAGGAAATGGAAACGAGGCAGAAGTGGAAGGGTATTCGAAATTGGAAATGCTTCTTGTTAGAAAGTTAGGGAGGATTTGGGGCTGAGATTAGATTATATAGAAAAGAACGGCGTCTTATTATTGGTTGTAGGATTTTGACGCGGATTGATGATTTGGTGCATTTATTAGCCGTTGGATTTTCTTTTTGGCACTTTGTATATAGACGGTTGAGATGCGTTTATGCTTTTAAGTAAACGTTTCGAAGGGTGCGGATCGTCGAGTTGGCACGTTTTTTACGCATTTGCAAATGATTAGGCGGTTCAAATATTTCTCCCGCGTCACTTTTCGTTTCATTTTTTTTTTTCCTTGGATAGTTTTTTAGGGCTCGATAGTTACGTAAACTCAGACACATATTTTTTATTATGTTTAAAGCAAAAAATCATTACAGTGTTCTTTTTTTTATAAAAAATTAAAATTTTAAATATTAAAATTAAAAATTGTGATTTAAGTATATTTTTTAAATGAGTCTTTAATATATTTTATTATGGTGTTAAAGACACTTAAAAATTTTTATTTATAATTACAAAAAATAAGAATTTTATTTATACAATTATTTAAGGATGTTTAAATTTATTTTTTAAAAATATGGTGTCAAGATACTCTTTGATATAATAAGAATTACACGGAAAAATAATTAAGAAATGACATATTTAAATAATATTATTTTAATATTAACTATAAATAAAATAAGCTTTTTGTATGGATACTCCATGAATTTTTTAAATTTGGTAATTTAGTCATTATTTTTTTCTTGGCTATTGACTCTTTCAACTTTTAAATCTTTGCAATTAAGTCGCAATCGAAAATGAAGTCTTTTTTTTACTACTATTCTGATCACGTGACGCGCATGTGAGCATTTATAAATAGTAATGAAAGTCATTTATCATATTATTTGTTCAGTTCAGAGTCATCTAATGTGGCAGCCATAAATCGCTTGAGGCATAAGGTTAAGGAATTGTAAGTTATGTAGTCTCACATCGTCTGGGGATAGTGATAGGTCCCGGTTTAAAGAAAGAACACTACCTATCAATGGTTTGAGGTCTTTTGGGTGAAACCCCAAGAGCAAAACCATGCATGTTCAGGCTCAAAACAGACAATATCATATTAAGTGTAAGTGTGAGTCGTTACATATGGTGTCAAAGCCAATAACTAGTCAGAACCGTGGCCAACGAGGATGTTGGGCACCTATAAGTAGACAATATCATACCAAGTAGAAGTGCGGATCGTTACATCTAATGTGCCCGAATACAACCAGTTGAAAAATGACCTTAATAACACTTAACAGATGCTCACATGTGCTTCATGTGATCATAATCGTAAAAAAAAAAAAAAAAGCACACGTTATTTTTTATTGGACCTTAATTGTAAAAAATTAAGTTGAAGGGGTCAATTGCTAAGAAAAAAATAAAGAACTAAATTTAAAAATTTAAAAATTTCAAGTGATATCCGTAAAAAAAGCTAATAAAATAGGAATACATATAAAAAAATTACTTTCATAAGAGTGAAATGAGAAAAAATAGATTTTTAAAAAACATAAATAAAATGTAAACAATATTCACAAAAAAATAAAGAAACATTTTTAAAAAATAAAGATAAAATAAAGAAAATAAAGAAAATAAGAGAGGTACGAGGAAGAGTTGTCACGTGACAGCCTCATCAAAAAGTGTCAAAGCTCTTTTATGTTTGGTAGGTTAGATTAGATCCCATTATAGTTTTGTTATTTTATTTTTTTAAGAAGAATTGGAGTTCTCAGTTTTGTTTGTGAAAAATAATTAGGGTTTTTAGCATAATTATCCTAAATTTGTCGTGGTTTAGCAAATTACCGATCGAACTTTTGATTTTGACGATTAACCCCTAAATTTGTAAAATTATTGCATTATGCCCCATTTTACTGAATTTTGCTCAAAGTTTTTATCAAATGTAAAGGATTAAAAATTGATATTACATTTGAATTAAAAAGTTAAGAGTTATTCGTTAAACGTGTTTTTTAACACTAATTTAACATGTTCATTATCGAAAGAGAGCATATTGAAACAATTTTACAAATTGAGTCAACTTGTCAAAATTAAAAATTCAAGAGACAAATTGCTAAAGTCATACAAATTCAAGGGGTAAATGTGTAAAATACCCTAATAATTATGTTTTTTCATAGAATAATTATGTTGTTTTCATATGTCGTTTTTAGTTCTTCCGTCGTTTTCATTATCATTAGCTTGTTATTTAAGTTATGTTGTCGCTTCCAAAGAGTAGGTTCCAAATCCAGAATCAAATTACATTTACATTGAACAATAACATTTTGATAAATAACACTTGTGTGGTGGTCGCAGTAAATAGCGTAGGTAATCACGAAAGTATCAGTCATATTCATGCATAGAAAAGAAAACGGGCATCATATTATTAGTTTTCCGAGTAAAGAATACGCTAACAAAATAATCAGCTTTCAGCCTTTTCACTTATCCTCGAGGTAGTGCTATCTGTGTCTATCTCTCCGAAAATGAGAACAAAAAAAACATCAATAATAAATGGTCCTAAAAACCGCATCCCCAGAATTATAATTGTTCAAGCATGTTACCAAAGCTAAAGCCTATATATGAAGCAGCCTCTAGTCAATCTTATACGTATTTTCCCCTGTATTTGGGCTTTGGATCTTTACTAAATTTCCCTTCACTACCTGCATTTGAATTAGAATCAGCCGTACTGAAAACAGCAGAGTGAAGATTACCATCTTCTAACCACTTCAGATGATTCTCCTTGAACTCTATATGTTTTAGCCTAGCCGTCTCTGCAATTTCTTCGGTGTACAGACTAATCTTAACCATGGTCAGTAACACTCGGCTGTACCGTGAGCTGAGAATCTGCTCGGAAGCAGAAATCAGTTTGAAACACTGGTGCTCCGGGAAATTGTTCTCTACATAATCTTCTCTCAATACAGGGAAGAAGAATACGAGTCTGCCACCCATAACAAGCATCTGGGCAGCAAGATCAAGCAGATCGTGCACACACTCGACTAAACTGTAAGCTGCAGTTGATGGTATGTGGTCTCTCCTCTTGTCATCGGGAACAACGTAAGGGCTCACAACTCCCTTTAGCAATTTCCGGCCACCAGATTTGCGTCCCCCGGCACGAACTCCATAAGGAGGGTCACAGATTATGGCATCAAATACCTATATGAACAGAAAAGAATTTTAAACAAGGAAACATAATGAAGCACTTAGTAATGGTCCTGTTAGAAGATGATCAGAAAGTGTAAGAAAGAAAACCCATGGCCCATGAAGGTGAAAGATTTTATACATCAATGACCAATCTTCCGAGTTCAAACCAACCACTTTCTTCTCAGAGAGAGTGTATGTAAAATAGCACAATTGTGACCACAGAGGTAATATCTAAGACCGACATTAATATTTCAATTGGATATAAAGTAGAAAGTAAAACGAGTAATGGACATAACAACATGTAGAACAAAAAGAGTACATGCATATGCCACTTCACTAAGGTCTCTAAGATTGAATGAAAAATGAATCACTATGGGTCCATTTGACATGTATTTAAACTTATGATTCTGATTTTACTACGGTGTTTTCCTCTCACAAGGAATTTGAATTCAAAAATTTCACACTAATGGTTCTCTCACAAACTCCCCGCCAATGAATCAGAATCACTGGCTTGAACGCGTGAATCAAACGGGCCCTATAGCTTGATGAGTTTATCACTCCAATATGCAATAAAACAGGGTAAGCTTACCTCTTTTAACCCCGGACGCCAAGGCGGAAGATTGTTATCTGCCCTTAACAATGCAATTGGCATTGGTAATCCATACTGCAAAACAAATTATTCACAATTTTTTTTTTGTCAAGCCTCAAAGATGACTTAGCAAGCATTTAATGAACAGAACCGCTGCACATTGTAACTTTTTATAATTGTAACTTATTTTCATGTAATCTTAAACCATTCTAGTGATACTTGTAACAATTTTTTCGAGTTAAATGGATCATAATTATTTAGCAGATTCATTCACCTGTTTGAAATTGCTCCAGACATTACAGTCAGGACCACGGCCATCACGTACGACCCTGATGTCAATGTCTGCACCCTGAACAATTTACATCAGTCCAAACTGAAAGGGAACTATCTGTATGGCTAGCGTATAAATGAAAAATCATTCATGTTTACCAGTTTATATCTTTTTTAGCAAACAAACATCTCGAGAGGATAAGTAACTAAAAAAAAAAATAAAGAGACAAAAGAAGAAGAGAAAGGAATGCAGACCATAGTCATTGCCCCAAAATGAGCTGCAGCAACAATAATGCTTCCGGTGCCAACAAAGGGATCATACACAAGCTTCCCTGGCATCGCCAGTGCTTGATTGGCCATTAAGAAAGCCATTTCTGCATCCATGGCAGTTGGCCCAAGATAGGTGCGGCTCTTTAACTGATAAGTCGGTATGAGTTTTCTATCTGCACCGCCAATCTCCCGACCAAAAAAGATTCTTTTTTCAACTATTGGCGGAAGCCCATTATTAGACCCATAATCATCAGTTTCCATAAGCCAAAACTTGTGATCCGGATTTTTCAAATCAACTCGACCCTGTAACATATCAAGCACCACAAACATCTATCAGTGGTTAAAAATTAAAATAACGCCACCCAAACAGCCATGTTCTTCAGTTTTCAAAACAAAAGGCATTGTGACAATGGAGAATTACAAAACAATCAAAAGCATCATTAAAGGAAAGCAAGAAAAATTACACAGGCAGCCACAGATTACCAATATATATATATATATATAATTGAATTTTTATGGTGCTGGAAGAAAAATTCCGGACACCATGCAGAGAACACGATAACTTGCACATTTCATGTTAGAACTTACTAACTTCAAATATTGAAGTTGTATAACTTACGACAGACTTGTGAATTTTAAAAGCGGTGAAGTTATAAAAGTTACAATAGACTAGTGAACAAGCACAATTGTCGGGAGTTCACCATAGAAGGACCCAAATGAAAATGTCCGGTAACTATATAACAAGTTTAAATAGCAAATTTCGACCCAAAAAAAAAAAAAGATGTGAATAAGAAACAATTCATACTAATAAATACACTTAAAAAGACTGCGCAAAATTGCATCCGGTATTCTACTCCTATCTGAACAAATATATATGTATATATATATATATATAACGAAAAATCATCAAAAGTGGGGAAAGAAAGAAGGGAAAACCTTGAAAGGGATGTAAGTGAGACTCTGCATGCGTTGATTTTGTTCCTGAAAGCTGAGGACCTTCCCAAAGCTATCGACATTGATCTTGAAAGTGCTTCCAGAATCCAAGTAGGGCAATTTCCGCTCCTCCGGATATCTCTTAACAGCCTCTTCCAATTCCTCGTAGCTGCTGCCTTCTCCCCAAAGCTCATACATTCCTTTCACAAGTATACCTAATACAATAACCCACAGAAAAAAAAAACGCTCCAATGAGTCGCAGAACAAATTGAAAGAAGAAACGGAAATGGAAAAACGGTAATTACTTCGGTTGGCGATTTTGCGAGCGATATCTTCGGAGGGGAGATTGACGAAGTGGAAAGGGGAATCTGAGTGGTGGTGCTGGGGAAGCCTCCATTCCAGGGAGTAATTGTCGTCGTCGGCGTCGAAAGTTCCGAAAAGGTGGGCGAGAGATTCGACCTCGGCTTTCCTGTAGTCCAACAATCTGTGGTAGAACACGCACAAGTACCACATCTTCTTCGATTCGATTCGATTCAATCGCTTGTTGTTCTCCTTCCGAAATCGCTGGAACGACAACTGATGACGGAACTCGAAGGAACTGAAATGCCAAGACTGATGTAAAACCCCAAAGCCTCACTAGCAGTGCGCTTTTTTGTGCTAGTACTTCTCGGTAAATAGTAAAAAATACGCCGATATGAAAAATTTTAAAAAGTATATAGGTTAATTTTTAGTTATAAAAATTAATAGTTTATAATTTTTTAAGTTATAGTTCATAATTAGATAAGTTATGAATAAATTTATTAAGTTATGATTGATAGTCAGATAAGTTATGGACAAAAATAGACAATAACTTGTCAAGTTATGGTTCATAACTAGTCAAGTTATGGACAAAAACAGTAATTTAACCTATTTATTAACTTATGTAAACTATTGACCTATTAATTTTAATTCATCTCAAATCTTGGCATATTTTCCTCTTTCTCCCGAGTTTCTATTGCACTAGTGTCTCCTTGTACACGCGCTTCCGCTCCATTCCATCTCGTATAATAACATTCCCAGCTACCTATTTCATTATGTCTCTAAAATACAATGAATAGGATTCAGGGTCTCAGAATCCGTACCGAGTAAATTAAAAGACATAAATCCATAAATAGGAGTTTGTTAAGAACTCAAGATTAAGATCATCCTATATATGACCATCGGTAGACTCAATTAGAATTTCTATGCTTAACGGAAATTATTAGAAATTCATATTGTGTCTGCGTCCATGTTCCACATAATCTCATTATGCGAAATACACCCATTCAATATCTCGTCATATTAACAGTGCGGATAACACCGTTCCATTCTAAATGGGAATGACATGTATTAATAATGTTTTAATTAAAGATTCCGAACTTTAATTAAATTCATTATGAACAATTACTTTTGATTATTATCCTTAAACATTATCCTCTCGTATACAACACTTATATACCATGTTTAAGGTTACATAAATAATCAAGGAATTTTATTTGATATTCATAAAATATTCATAAATATATGCACATAAAATGATGAATAAACTATTTTATTAAATAAATAATAAATATCCTTTTACATCTCATGCTTCTAGGACACTATTCCCAACACACATATCCAGGCACAGGGAGGTGCAGGAGGCATGTGGTACATGGTGAATCCCACTATGATTCAGTTGCTTGTTCTCTAAGATATCGACTGGTTTACTTGTTTGACAAGTTTTACAATCAAATTCAAAAGGAAAGTAAAGTTTGACTTTATTTAAATTTAAATTGGAGCTAAAATTGGAAACTTGATGAAGGAGAAATTTTTTCTCTTTCCTGCCTAGTATTTATGCCAACAACAGGGAGATCTCCTGTGGTGTGGTCGGCCATGTAATAAAAGGGAAAGGAGAAATTTGTTTCCAAAATTAAATGAGAACCTGTATTTTAAATGAGATTTAAAATAACCAATTTTCTATTACTTTATCTTTAAGTTAAAGTAAAGGGGTCCTCCTAGTGTTTTATAAATTAGAGACAATAGAAAATTAGAGAACACGATTTTCCCTCCCTTCCCTTATGAGACATGAGTGTAACATAGCTCTTACGGAAGTGTAACATTCTATTAGACAGCGTGTAACATTCTAGTGATAGATGTGTATCCAGCAAGAAAACGAGAAGAAAAGTTCTTCCAATTCTCAGTTTCATCACATACATGCGTTGATAGTGGTGAAATAGAAAATAGCGAGTGATCATAATCTGATGGTTCCATATTAGAGCCCACACTCTACGTCTTGCAGATATCAAGGACTAGACGAGGAAGATTCGGGTTTTTTGAGAAAGCTTAGAGCTTGGACTGTTCGTGGTCAAGGACCTCAAGCTATCCGCCTAATCGTTCGCTAGGTATCTATCTTTATAAATTAATATAATTAATATATTATTGTGTAAATTAATATACTCTATAGCGTTTAGTTTTATAAAAATTTTTTGTTCAGACCCAATCCGTGTTTTCATGCTTTTGCGCCTGAATTTGATTCAGAAACCAACAGGCTTCCCATCTCCTTTCCAACCCCCACGGCGGCCTCACTGTGAAGGTTGATATGCTAAATCCTTTGCGTAATGCAATAAATCGTTAGGGCAATTAATTAGACTCCACAACTTAATAAGGAACTATTGGAGGTGCATTGCTTGGGGTTTTGAGATGCATTGCCTAGGTGTGGAGGCACATTATTGGAAGCTCTCGGACTAGGGTTGAAGGAACACTATGCGGAATATAAAGTGTTGCTCGTTGGAGTGAGAACGGTATAGAGTGTTGCTCGTTAGAATAATAAGCTCTAAGGCGTAACTCGTTAGAGAATAAATTATGGAGAGAAAAAAGAATGACTATATATATATATATATTATGAGGAGGTGGTATATATGTTAGTGCGGTTGGATTGAAAAGGGTTTAGAGGGGTTGATGCAGAAGTAGTAAAAATTAACTAATTTATCTTAAATTAGTTCAACAATCAATTCAATCAATGAATTACTCACGAATTAATCACCAACCTCACACCTGGCTTTAAAACCTTTAGCGGAAATAACATAAGTTATCAACATGTAAGAAATACGCATATCGTTACAGAAAAGTATATGAGCTAGCGAAGGGACCCAATGGACATATATAGATCAAGCTCCTATAATTATGGCAGTACTTGTTCACCGACAAGTTCATCACATAATTATAAACTCTAGTGCTATTCCACTAAAAGCTTGGAACTGCACTCTCAATCTATGCAGTATATTAACAAAACTCCAATTAGCTCTCGTCCATAACTTATTATATTAGTGTATTATCCTCATAAGATATCTATAATCGACTTGAGATCAAGTTTCATTTTATCTTCTCAATTATATTTATCTTATGTTAGTGGAACACTCTATCGGGAAAAGCCACTATTCGTACCAATTGAAATAGTGAACCATTAGATAACACAAAGTAATCTAATGACAACGCTCTTATTTTTCAATATATGGATAATGCTATAAAATGATATCATTGACTTTATATATAAGAGCTATGGATTCCCTATCTATAATAAATCTACACATACAAGAGTCATATCTTCAATGTTCCGGTATGCATACCTTTATATAATGTGAGGATGTTACCCTTTGGTATATCAAAAGATACAAGTCAAGGATACATGCTTATTATTCATCTCAAGATTAAGATGGTCTCATATAATTTGTTAAAAGTGAATTGTTTTATTCAATAAAATTATTAAATAAAACAATTCAATTTTGGTCCGATCTAATATAGATTGTACCACTATAACTATATCAATGTCTCCACCAATGGAGTCCCTCTTTGATGACCAAGACAAGCAGTTTCCCTTAAGAAGTAAACAACATAACAATCTTAACATGAATAAAGTGTCCAACTTTATTCCCTTGATAATATATTTAGACTATTATCTTTAGATTCATATATTTTGTATGTTCCTCACATTACATGTACAATTTAAAGACTTAGAATAACAATCTCAAACTTCCAGTTTACTTATTATATAATCAACAAATATAAACATAAAGAGAACATTATGTAATAAATAAATTTTATTGATATTAAAATGTCATAAGTACATTTTTACATTTATTCCTAAGAGCATTTTTATATTTATTTCAAAGAGCATAAACTCTAACAGATAGATGGCAATGGTTGATATGTAAGGAGGTTGTACATTAGATGAAACCTGGGTGTGGCAGTTATTATGGTAAGATGGTAAAAGTTGAATATATGTGGTATGGCAAGAAACGTATTTTGTGAATATATTCTCTTCATTTCACCGATTCGAGTTTAGAATTCGAGTTTTGTTACAGTAAAAAGCTCTCAGAAACAATCACATCTAACTTTTTTACTATAGTAAAAAGCTCTCACATAAAATCTCATCTCAACTCGAATTAAAAACTCGAATAACGAACTAAGCGAGCCTGAGATATAAGAATTGTTGTGGGAAGAATTGTGGTGTGGTTGGAGATGCGTTAATGGTATGTTGCGTGGAGGAAAAGAAGGAAGGTATGATGGTGTGCTCCTTGGTGGAAGAAAAGGAAGGGAAAATTAGGGGTTAAAGGTTAATGATCGGTAATAGTTCTGATGCTATAATAAATTTATGTTTTGAAGATCAAATGGTATAACTTTTTCATTAATGAGAATGTAATATATCCTCGTCCGGTTATATGAAAATGCTAAAAAAAACAAAAAAGTTCCTTATCCGTGGGGACATAACCCTAGATAGGTAGATTTTTTTTTTTTTTTTTTTTTAAGGTATGATAAGCTCTTATCTCACCAAAAGCCTAAACACATGTAAGACCGGATTTATAATTTTATGCTATCCATATATCAGATAACTCAATTTTTCTTTTTCGACAAATGCCCCTGTTTTGGTTGAAAATTTTCAACCTAAACATGGTCGTTTTGGTCTGCTTAACTTTTTTCCCTTTTCTTATTTTTTTTAAGTCCTTTTTTGCCTTCTTTTTTATCTTTTAGTCTCTTGTTTTTTTTTTTTCTTTTTCATTTTCTCCTTGTTTTTGGTCCTTTTTTTTTCGTTTTAGCTTTAAGTCCTTCCTCTCTTTTTTTATTTTATTTTTGTTTCTTTTTGCCTTAAAATATTTTTTTTTTTCATTTTGGTTTTTTCTAACCTTTACTTATTGGTTTTTTCCTAAAACTTCATTTTTTTTTTCATTTTGCTTCCTTTTGCCTTAAGAATTATTTAATTTTCCTTTTTAGTATATTTGTCCTTTTTTTGTTCCTTGCTCTAATTTTTTTTTTCTCTCGTTTTGGTTCCTTTTTGGATTTTATATTCAAATTTTATATGCTTTTAAATGTGTCTCATTTCCATAGTGACGTGCATTTTCTTTACTTTGTGTTTTATTTAATTGCAAATATTATTGTTATTATACATGCATTCTCTCATTTTCTCTCTCTTAAACACTTGAAGAAAAATCCACATCTCTCTTCTCTCTCTCAAAATTGTCCCTCCACCAAACTTAAAAAATGTCCATCTTATATAGCACAAGTGTGTGGAGATCAAGTCTTGGTTAAATGTTTTGGGTAAGGTTTTGGTGAATTTCTCTTAGTTTCTTCGACTTCAAGT